TACATGCATGTTCTCTGTTCCGAATATGAAGCACCTATAAGCAGTATCCCATAGCAATTGCCGAGTAGTGCAATGGACATGGGCTACTTAACTCTGTCCCATCTACAGTGACCAATGGCATCTGACCAGGGCTGTAGACACTGACTTGCTTTCAGGAAATTCATGGGCTGTGGCAGAAATCTTGCCTGSTTCATTCTGGGCATGATGGCACATACCTGGGGAAGCTGAGGCAAGGAGGATCACAAGTTCAGGGTCAGCCTCTGCAACTTAGTGAGATGAGACCCTGTCTTGAAAAATAAAAAGGACTGGAAAGCAGCTCAGTGGTCGTGCTCAATCCTAGTATCTCAAACCAAAACAAAGGAACAAAAATAGTTTTTCCCAGCTCTTGAAGAATAAGTGTGTGAACCCAGATTAGAACCCCCAAACCATCAACAGCTTGATCTGGAAATGAAATCTCTCTTTAAAGTAAGTTCTCAAGCCAGGTGTGGAGACATGCACCTGTAGTGCCGGCTACCTGAGCTCGGGAGTCAGAGGTCAGCCTAAGCAACAGAGCAAGACTGTGTGTGTGTGTGTGTGTGTGTGTGTGTGTGTGTGTGTGTGTGTGGTATTTTTCAGGGTGTGATCTGGGGTTGTAAGCAATCCACCAGGGATAGGGTATAGGTCATAAGATTTGAACTGATTTCTTAAACTTTTGGTATTTGTGCATCTCAATAATTTCTCATGACATGAAACTAAAATCTTTTGCTTAGTAAATTCTACATTGGTGTATATACTGATCCCAATTTTCCAGCACCACCTCGATGAACTACAATTCAATTCAATTCAATTCTGACACTAACACAGCACAAATTGAGGGCAAGGTTCTGAACAAGGCTGCCCTTACTCAGATGCCCATCACAAGTGTTAAACATTCTGCTTCACACACAGTAGTTACCCAAGACATGTTTGTAGGATGAATGAACAAATTAGTGAATTAAAAATGTTATTTCATAGTATAAGATCCTTTATCATGAAAACCATACAGTAAGTTCTGTGATTTTGTGGACATGGTGCTGTTGTGACCCAAATACGTGGTTGCCAGGCAGAATCTAAAGCCATGGCGTGGGAAGCCCCACCCCAGCACAGGGCAGTGGGGGCAGCCAGCTGCAGGCTGGACGTTGAAGTGTCCAGAGCTACTCCTCTCCCGTCTGAGTCAGGCTGAGGAACTGSTGACAAGGCCACCTGTGCTACCCCAGGACAAGAATCTCTATTAGATATAGCTCAGGCATCCTCAACGGGATCTCAGCAACCTCCCGGAACACGGACACAGGTAGCCAAATTCCAGAGAAGGAACACTGCCTCAGAACCAGGGTTTAGGCTGCTAGTTTGATTTTTTTTTTTTTTCTTACTACTGGGGCTTAACCCCAGGGGCAGTCTACCACCGAGCTACATTCCCAGTCCTTCTTATTTTGAGACAGGATCTTGCTAAGTTGCCCAGCATGGCCTTGAACTTGTGGTCCTCCTGCCTCAGCCTCCTGAGTTGCTGGGATTATAGGTGAGTGCCACTGCACTGGGCCACAGTGAAGTTTCATATCTAGTCCCAGGGATCATAACCTTTTTTTGTGTGTGTGTCATGGACCCCCTTGAAGAGATTAGTGGATCCGGTGTACCCTTTATTGGAATAATGTTTTAAAATGCCTGACCTAAAACACTATGATTGGAAGCAGACCAGTGAAGGTGAAATGTGATTATCAACATGTTGAAAAGGCAGAGTTGTACAGCTGTGTATATGCCTGTTTACATATGAAGCAAAGAAAGTGGCAGATCTAATAACTGCCATAATTTTGAGATAGCGAAGAGCATAAATGCTACCATGCATATCTGTAGGAACTGATTTCTACTGGTGACATAATAAAAATAACACCTTGGTTCACTGCCAACATGCACAACAGAAGGAAATACTACCTTGCAGTTGGAGCTTAGTGAAATTAGGATAGGTGGTGATTTTCTTCACTATTCCTTCAAGTTCACACACCCCTGAATTCTAGTCATCCTCCTTGTTTGATGTATAGGTGTAAGACGCTTGAATCTGTCTATGCCTACATTGGGGATAAAGGCACTATATCAATACCTGTTATTGACCAGTTGTTCTGTCTCGATGCTGAACTTCTTCAGAGCCTATGGATTATAGGTTTGTAATACATGCACTTATTTTTACTCCCTCTGCATACAACTGTATACAAAAGCAATGTACAAATATGTGTATGAGGATTTTTCTGGAATAAATAAGGTAAGCTTGGTCTACTATTTTGTTTGAAGGCAAGTGTTCACTCTGATAAAAATTAAGCTATGGTCAGTATCAGATGGGGAGACCTCTTTAAACACCTGTTGGGACGCATCCTTTATATTACTTTAATGAAATTAGCACATTCTAGTCAAAGAAAACAAAATAACCTTGGCAATTGAATAATGAGTATTAATTGGGGGCAGGGTGTGGATTGGTGGTAGAGTGTATGTTTAGCATGTGTGAGGCCCTGGGTTCAATTCCCAGCACCATTAAAAAAAAAAAAAAAAAGTATTAATGAATGGCTTGACTGATGGCCCTACTGCCAATTCCAGGTTCACCTCCACTTCGGTACCARTGGATCTGTACAGTGTTGTTTGAGCTTTCGTGGGTGATCCTTCTGGCCCGGGACTTCTCCTTTGCACTACCAGCCATCAGGTGGGGGTGGGGGGGGGACAATCGTTGTGTGCCTGGTGTGTAGCTGGGGCCCCTTACCATTTTTGTACAYTCTGATGTAGAGGCAGACAGGAATCAGGACCTGCCCTTCTTGGGAAGATTTCCAGCTTACACTCACTCCCCAGGCCAAAGTTTACTATTATTATTTTCCTTCCCATATTGTGGTCTCAGAAAAGATGGTTGATAATTGGCTTCTCCCAATCCTCCCCTAAATAGTACAGTTGTCCCTCAGTATCCTGGGACATTCATTCTGGAACCCCCTACAGATAGTAAAATCTGAAGATGCTCAGATAGTGTTTGCATAGAACCTACAAAATCTTCTTTATACTTAAAATCATTTTTAGTTATTTGTAATACCTAACATACATGTTATGGAAATGGCTATCTTACGACATTGTTTAGGAATAATGATAAGGAAGTATGTACTTGTTCAGATGTGGTTTTCTTTTTCAGAATATTTTTGGTCACGGGTTGTTTGAATCCATGGAGGTGGAACCACAGATATGCAGGATGGACTCTCCGTGGCCCTTCGTGGACATGGAGGATGGACTCTCCTTCTTCCTGCCTGTGAACACCTCTTGTCACGGTGGGTAGAGGAGCCTGTTAGTTCACCTGCCAGGATCTTCCTTCCAGCAGGAGTGTGCTCTCCACACAGTAGGGTGCTCTCCACACAGTAGGGCAGCCAAGGAGAGAAAACAGGTGAGCAGAGCCGCAGGGGACACCAAGAGGGTTAAAAATGAGCCCCCACCTGGGGAAAGAGTYTGAGTCCCCACCACACCTAGAGCCYGGGTCCTGCCTAGGAACGCACTGAGGAAGACTTCCGCACAGAGGGACTGGGTTGTTGCTTTTTGGAGCTGAGGAGCCGCCTGGTGAACCCAGTAAGGAAGGACGCCCTTGGCCTAAAATCTTAGCAAAGCAGGTTTCTAAAATATGTTTTCCCCTAGAATGCTTTCAGAAATAGAAAATGACACTTTAAATGACAGAGGAAAGTAATARAAACATGAAGAGTGAAAGCAACATTTAAAAACAAATCACTCCTTGGGGCTGGGGTTGTAGCTCAGGGGTAGAGCACTTTCCTAGCCTGTGTGAGGTACTGGGTTCAATCCCCAGCACCACATAAAAAAATCGATAAGTAAAATAAAGGTACTGTGTCCACCTACAACTAAAAATATTAAAAAAAGAAAAGAAAAGAAAACCCTTAAGCAGCTTTTATTTAAAAAAAAAAATCACTTCACAGTGAGACAGGCTGCTTCCTGGTACATTATGTGGACGGTGAATTCACCTTAAGGGCTCCTAACCATCAAATGGATTACCTCCAGGAAATGCTGGTGGGCTGTATATTTGGGGGGGGTACCCTCAATAAAGGGCAGGGACAGGGAGGGGACATTTGTTATTCTTGGGCCAAGGCAGCCTTTGAATGGGGAGCCTTTTCAGTTATCAAACAACGTTTTGGAACAAACTAAATTGTTCATGAAGTACATTATGGGCCGAGTGGGGTCACTGGAGAGGGCAGTGCAGGAGCCACAGGAAGGACTCCACAGGACGTGCCTCAGGGTCATTTAGGGTATTTATGGTGACCATTTTACTTATACTGCTTAGAGGACAATCACTCCTTGTTAGTTCCTGAATCCTTGGTTTTGTTTTAACTTTTGCATGATTTTATATTATTGTAGGAAGAAAGGGAAACAAAGAAGGGTCAGGAACTCTCAAGAGAGGGGAACAGGCCATAAAGCATTCTCTACCAAGAATGAAGGGCTGGGCCAAAGGAAAAACATTTGCCAAACACCTGACCTTTAAGAGCTATGTTTCCTAGCCCTATGGGCCCTAGAAACCTCAAACAGCACTGGAGACTCATTCACTGGTGGAAGGAACCAGCACATATCCAGTTGTTTTAAGTCAGTGATGTCAACTTCACTGGCACCAAGAAGCAGCTCTGGATGTACAGTGCCATTTGTTCCAAGAGACCCCACAATTCTCCAGCCGTCGGAAGATCTCACAGCTGACCAGATGTTTCTAGGCATGTTTCATTTCTTCACTGTTACATTTATAAAGCTCTGAATGCATTCACAATTTCCAGGAAAATGGCCTCAGGTAACAACCCACCAACTTCACATGGACAGTGACCTCCAGAGAGCAGTTTTATCTGGCACCCAAAGCGTGGTTATTTTTCTAGATATGTTTATTTTCAGCTCAAAGACAAAACAGGGGGTGTAGCTCAGTGGCAGAGCACTTGCCTAGCATGCATGAGACCCTGGGCTCTATCCCCAGCACTGGAAAAAAAGGGGACAAAATAAGAAACTCTGTAGTGGAAAATGTACCTTTCAGTTCACACTCTTGCCATCCCTTAGTCCTCATAAAATAAACACTCTAAGTATAAGCAGCGRAAAATAATGTAAACTCTGCAGAAGCAGAAAGTAAATTCGTTTCTTTCAGACTTGCTGGAGGTCCTCTGCTGCAAACAGAATTCGTCATGACCGGAGAAGTCTTTGGCCTATTTCATCATTTCCCCGACATTGCGTAACAGGCATAWCTCAAATTTACTTTTTTCTCCAACTGCAGCAAAAAGGCAATGAGTCTTGTTTGAGGAACCTGAAAAAGAGGGAAAAAAATGTTTTAGTAGTAGAACAACTTTGGGGGTTCAACTGTTACTATGTTGCACTTCTGAAGTTTGGGGCCACCAGAAAATTCAAGTGACTTCATTCACAAAAAAGGGACAGGACACTGCAGGGAAGGTTTTCCCTGGGGGAAGTGAGACTGGGATTTGGCCTCAGCATGGCTCCTTGATCCAGCACCTGAACTTCCCAACAGATTCCAGAATTTCCATGACTTCCAGATAATGGTCGGCAGGATCCTGTGAACGTTTAGGATTTTAGATTAGGAATGTGGCTGCCTTGGATTTCAGTTCCTCTCTTACATAGTGGGCACAGAAGGCAGGGTCTGAAAATGCTCTGGGGACAAGAGGAAGTGGGTGGACCTGGGACTTCCTGTTGTTAAAGCTTTGTTGATTTTTCTCAGAGAGTACTAAGATCCTTTGCCCATCTTAAATCCTGCAACCTTTTAGAAAGAGAAAGTGATCAGACTATATTTTAAAGATACCAAACAGCAGGGTGGTGCACTCCTGTAATCCCAGTGACTCGGGAAGCTGAGGCAGGAGGGTGGCAAGTTCGAGGCCAGCCTGGGCAATTTAGCGAGGTCCTAAGCAACTTACTGAGACCCTGTCTCAGAATAAAACATAAAAAGGACTGGGGATGTGGCTCAGTGGCAAAGCACCCCTGGGTTCAATCCCTGATACCCAAACAAAAGAAAAACAAATGAAACAAAACACCTAAGTTCTAGGAAAAAAAAATCCTTCCCCATTGCAGGAAAAATGGAGATGCAAGCACGTGGCGTTTCATGTGGACGACCCCGGGAAGGGTCTCTGTGGGCCACTAGAGCTCACTCTGCTGAAATGCAGTGACCTGGCCTCTCACGGATGACTGAGCTAGCTGGAGGTACAGGGGACGCTTGATGGGTTGAAAAACACAAGACAGAGACAGAGAGGGGACAGGAACTTCAATACTCCCTAACACCGGATTCCAAGTCAGGGGAGTAAACAGAACACAGAAGTGTTACAAGTATAATAAACACCAACAAATAGAAAATATTTGAGATGTTAGGGAGGAGGTGCACCTGGGCAGCCCCTGCCCCAGAGACACAGCCGGCATCACCTTGGTGGCTCTAGTGAGCCCTAGGAGGGAGGGGTGCTGGGGCAGGGGGTGGGGTGGGTTTTGCTGGCTGGGGAGGACCCTCGGCTTGGCAAGGCCAGGCTGGCCTAAGGCCATCTCTGCTGCAGAGGTGGCCGGGGAGGACCTGTTGCAGAGCCACACTGCCTTTGTCCTCTGCAGTACTGTGGTTGGAGGGGCTTAGAGTTTGTGTTCTCACATTTTAAGGAAACTTGAAGGGTTGGCGAAAGTATAGAAAGACTGATTATAGATGGAAAAAAGAAAATCAGACATGTAATCGCTAAGGTGAGAATGTAAAAAGCAATCAGGTGTTTATTCAGGGGAAAGTAGGTTGGAAGGCAGAATAGAAAACATTCTATTTTGGTTATGGAATGATCAGAAATAAAAAAGTGCCCCCCAGATGCCTTTGAAGGGGATCTAAGAATGTCACAATTGTTGCCTAAGCTTCAAAACATCTCATTTTAGTCAGAAAGCACAAGGGTGATGAGCAACTTTTGAGAACCTCTGTGAAAATATAAGGTTTCAAGACCCAAAATCACAAAGTGCAAGTGCTCTCCTGGGGCATCCTGCAACCCTGTGGTGTGTGAGCTGGGGCTGGACAGGCCCTGTCCACAGAAGGGCTGGTACAGATCTACCCAACTCAAGGTTCATTCATGAGCCAACTGCAGTACACACACCTGTGATCCCCAGTTACTCTGGAGGCTAAGGCAGGAGGACTGCAACTTTGAGGTCGGCCTCAGCAACTCAGCAAGACCCTGTCTCAAAATGAAAAGGGCTTGAGATGTAGCTCAATGGTAGAGCACACCCAGGTTCAACCCTCAGTACCAAAACCACCACCACAACAAAAGATTAATTTATAAATATTAAGTCCCTTTGATAGTTTCTGCCCGAAAAGCAGTCTAGGGCAGAAATGAGCTGGTATCATGCTTCTTTCTATGTGCATGATTCTAGAAAAGCAGTTCTCTGGTAGATAACTCACAGCGATAGCAGGAATAGAGGAAATCTGATTCTGTACTAAGCTTAGCTTTGCACATCAGAATGAAGGGAAGGAGGGAGGACCCGAGTTCCCCAGGGATTTTCACAGTGTCTTCACTTGGACGGACCCAGCCAAGGCTCAGAAATATGATGAAGGTTCAGGATGAGAAACCAGAAGAACAGAACAAAACAAAACAAACCCAAACCCAGCCACCTCCACACAAAAGACGGAACAGCAGGATCGATTTCACTGGGACAAAAGCTTATTTTAATTCTCACTGTTCAGTGGCATTTGAAAGAAGGAACCAGGCCCTCATCCAGCCTGAGGAAAGCACCTCAGGGAAGTCTCGGGACAGAGGAGCCGAAGCTCAAATCCCCGMGACTTCTTGGATCTCACGCTCATATTCAGCTTCAGCAATTTCCTAGAGGGGTGAGGCAGGCAGGAAAGGCCAGGGTGGGAAGGGGAGGAAGGAAAGCAGTCACCCACTGCCTGCTGTCCTTTTCCCTTGGGGACACATCTGCGCCATGGTCCTTGGAGAATGAGGAATGTGCTGCTCAGCAGCTCAGGGTCCAGGGCCATCTGGGGTCTGGTCCCTATGACATCAAAGCTGGCCCAATCCAGTCCGAGCCGACGACCATTTAAGGGGTCTTATCTTTATTTATTTATTTGTTTGTTTGTTTATTTATTTATTTTTGGCACCGTAGACTGAACTCAGGGGTGTTTAACCATTGAACTACATCCCTAGCTCTTTATTTTATTTTATTTTATTTTTTGTATTTTATTCAGAGACAGGATCTGGCTGAGTTGCTAAGGGCCTCACTAAGTTGCTGAGGCTGGCTTTGAACTTGTGATCCTCCTGCCCCAGCCTCCCAAGTCACTGGGATCATAGGCATGCGCCACCGCGCCAGCTATTTTTTCTATTGTTAGTGGCTGCAGACCTCTGACTGTTGGTGCAGTGGTCTCTGCTCACCGGGAGAGGCGCAGGCAAGAGCAAGAATGTTTGCTGGATCGTGATGCTGAACGGCTGCTGAGGGAGCGCTKCTGGAGGGGTCTTGGCCCTCTTCGATTGTTTGGGCAGGGTCAGGTGAGGGATTTGAACTGCTGCCCAGCAGRAGAGTATTTAGCAGCTCACGAAGAAGCAGCCTTGGATAAACAAGGGCAAAAAAAATGCAAACTAGAGAATTAAGAGGTAGCTCCATATGCTTGAAAAGAATTTTGATAAAGTTCTACCTTTCGATACCTGCATAATTATCTTTAAATGATCATAAATATCTTTAAAAACTCATCCTATTCAACTAGCTSGTTTTAAATTTCAGAACGGATGGAAGTCCATGTAGCCTGTGATTGAAGTTAAATGGTCTGGGGGAATAAGGGGTGCTTGAGAGTGAGAGTAGGTGGGCCTGGGCTGAATCCTGGCTTCTGGGGTCATTAGCTGTGTGATGTGAGCGGGCTGTTCCCCTCTCTGGGCCAGCGTTTACACAGCTCTGATATAAGAACACTGCAAACCTGTGGGTCACAAGAGGGACAGTGTGGGCAGCGGGAAGGCAACCAGGCAGTCCCATGGCCCTCAGCCTCTGCTTCTTCGTGACCACSAGGGAAGGACTGGCTTTCCTGAAGCCAGTGGCTTCTCAGGACACCTGTCCCAGAGGGTGTTGTGACCCACGGTGGCAGGTGCTGAGCACAGTGGGAGGTGACCACTGCGGCCCAGTGTCCGACCACAACTCCTGCTGGATCCTCAGGTGACCCCAGAGGAACCCTTGTTGGGGAATCCGGCATGTCAAGAAATGAAGGGCCCGGGCGTGAGCATCACCAAGGCTGGGGGCACGTCCCTGGGCATCTCCCTTGGGCTCATGTGACCTACTTGGAGAGCAAGTGAAAACCAACCGACCGAAAGGCTTGAAAAATACTATTCAAGAGAGATGAGAGAACTGTACGCACTTGTTCTGGAGACAAGTGACAAATGACAGAAATGTACCGTACAGGGCTGTGACATGAGAAGAGAGATTTGTTAGGACCAGGGTCAATTTTCGGCTTCAGAGAAATGATGTTGTTATTTTCTGAAGGCCAGGCTGGGAAATCTGAGATGCTCMCAACACACAGAGTCAGAACAAAGACCCAAACCACCCTGGTACCAGCGTGGATGGGCTCCTTTGTGAAACCGGCCACCACATTTCTTTTCTGAGTTTTCTTTTTCAGGAACGATGAAGATAAAACGTGGTTATGGATAAACGTGGACCTGACTCCTGCTTCTCAGCGGCAAACACACAAACACCCCCGAATGGACCTCACGGCACAAGACAAACAAGTCCACACCATGCCTTGACAACAATTCATGTAGGCAGCTCCTTGCCTTCGTCCCCACAGCCAGCCCTTAGGTTTTACYGAGGAAGACTTACAGGAAAGAGAAAACCTCCCCCCATGTGGACTCCTGCAGTGAAGTCACRGGAGTCTTGCAGGCCCAGCTTGGGCCTCACTGAGAGTCGGCTGGAGAGGGACCTTTAGGTCAGGCAAGCTCATCCGAAGGCCCAGAATGTTCTGGCAAGAGGCAGGGGTCCTGGGCTAAGGAACAGGGGTGGACGTGTTGGAGGAAGGACTGTCTCCTGAGAATATGCTGGGCACGCTGCTCTATGAGATGGAGAGGGAGCTCCAAGCCCTGAGGACTTCTGACCCAAAACTTTCTGGGGAGGAGGACTGGGAGTGTGGCTGGTCTCCATGAYAGGAAGCCAGCAGGTGTGGCTGAGTTGCTGGCTGAGGGGTGGACAGCTCTGGTCTAAGAAGCTGCAAGTGAAGCCCCCGCCCTCCCCAAGCCAAAACCCTGTGGATCAGGAGCCAGCAAGTGCCCTGGTTCCTGTGGCTCTGTCCTCTCTGTGACKCACGGGGCCCCCTGAGTTAGAAGATCTGCCCATCTGTCCGTGTCCCTCCAGAAACAGGAGAGCCTAAGACACSGCTGTGCCACAGCCAAGGGTTGAACGTGTCTCCCAAAGGATACATTAGAGCCCTRATCCTGAGCACCCGTAACAGTGACCTTATTTGAAAATGGGGGCTTATGCAGAGTAACTTCATGAAGATGAGGTCATTGGTGAGGATGTGGGGGGAAAGATACATTCCTACACTGCTGTGGGGACTGAAAATTGGTGCAACCGCTCTAGATAGCAGTGTGGAGATTCCTCAGAAAACTCGGATGGAACCACCATTTGACCTAGTTATCCCACTCCGTGATTTATACCCAATGGACTTAAAATCAGCATACTACAGTGATGTAGCCACATCAATGTTCATAGCATCTCAATTCCCAATAGCTAAACTATGGAACCAACCTAGATGCCCTTCAACAGAYGAATGGATAAAGAAAATATGGTGTGTATATACACAATGGACTATTACTCAGCCTTAAAGAAGAATGAAATTATGGCATTTTTTGGTAAATGGATGGAACTGGAGAATA